AGGAGCTCTCAAGGTTTCTATGCCAAATAAAATAATCCAGACTTACTAGGTAGGTATAGAAGGGAGTTGCAAATGTGAAAATGTTTATCCAAGAAAACGAATTAACATGCAATGCTTGAGAGTAAATGTCCATATGAATAAAACTGAAGTTCAGGTGTCTCAAATGGCACTTTGTAGAAATAATCTGACAAGGAGACTTTAAAGATCATAAAATATAGAACAAGACAGTTACAAATGTAAATTTTGTCACAAGGAACATATCAGACAAATGAGTAAGATTGTGCATGATCTGGCCTTCTAAGTAATTTAGTGCTCACAATTCTGTTTCCTTGTCACACTTGCATCAACCACTCTTTTATGCGTGGAGAGCTCTTTTTAAATAATAAAGAGGCTAGTGGCTTGTCTAAAAAGCAAAAACCAGGGCCGGCCGAGTGGCGCGATGGTTAAGAACTCGCTTGGGACGCCAGAGGGCCCCGGTTCGGATCCCACATATGAGGACCAGTGACACTGCCCTCTATAGCTAAGATGCTGAACAACAGCTCAACCTGGAGCTGGGCTGCCGTGAGTCGCCGGCGACGGCGTGGACTGCAGCCCCTGTGGCAGTGGGTTGCCATGGGCTACCGTGTGTAGCCAGCAGCCAGCGTGAGCGGCCATCAGCCAGCGTGAGCGGCCAGCAGCCGCAGTGAGCGGCCGTCCAGAAGCCGGTGACAGATCTGCCTTGCCAGAGAAGAGCACAATGATGGTGCCAACTTGGGCCAGTGAAGCAACATCCTCCACAACTAGATTGAAGAACAAAACGACAGCAACTTGTCTGTTCCCCTTCCCCCAATTCCCCAGCACTGTTCCCATCCCCCCAATTCCCCAATTAAAAAAAAAATCTTTAAAAAAAAAAAAAAGCAAAAACCAAATAAGCAAAACAAAATAAAACTCTTAATCTTGTTGGTTAATCAAATAATTGCCTTTTAATTTTCCAATTTCCTCTGCTTTTACATTTATTTCTCCTGTTATTTTCTGTTCCTTTGCAATCTAGTTTTTTTCTTAATTCTTTACATTTTGAAGGAAATCTATTCTTATTTTTCTCTCTTACCAGTACAGGCATTCAGGGTTACGGATTTTCTCCACATGTTGCCTAAGCCATATCATGGTAATTTGATGTGACTGAAACTATAAATCTCCAACAGGCTGATTCTTTGTGTCTCTCGCAGCACTTAGTATACCCACAATGCACACTCACTGAATGTTTTCTGAATTACTCAAAGAATGAAATGTTTTGATCGCATTCTTTAGTCTATAATCAAGCAAAAGAAAAAAATGACTGTGTAGGTGGCCACACAATCCTAAGTATTTTAAGAGTCCCCTCCTCACCATGGTAATGTTGAGTTTTGATTTGCTCAACCACTCCCAAATACAAGTTCTTTGACATCATAAAGACTTAGAATCCATCGGTCCTTCTTTATCCCCGTTTATTAGATCCACCCCCTGCCATGGCCATGTTCATTTCCCACCCTATCCTAAGAATGTATGTAGTCCAAAAGTTCGACCAGTTTCTTACTAATGATCTAAATGTATATTTTCTACTCTACTTTAACATTTTTTTGGAGGTAAAGATTTTTGTTTTTATGTTATAATTTCAAACTTACAAAGAAATACAGAGAACAAAATAATGAACACAAATATGTCTACTCCCCGCAACAGAAGTTAATTTAAAAATTTACTATGAATACTTCAAATATGCACAAAAGTGAAAAGAATAGGATAGTGAATCCCCAATATCAATCACCCACCTTCAATAATCATTGATCTATTGCCAATAAGTGGTACCACTAACTACCCTGTCACCGAAGCCAATAGCTCAGTTACAAAATTGTAATCCTTTCTCCTGATATCTATCTGGTCAATACAGAGCCATGTTAATTTTATTCCCTAACTATCTGTCAGATATGTTGAAATTCTCTTCATCCCCACTGCCACTGCTACCAGGGTACCATCCTCACATGGATTACTGCAAAACTCTCCCTCCCACAATTACGTTATTCAAACATGTTTCTTTCCAGACAGTAAGGTCTGAGAGGCAGGGCTATGCTCATTCTTTTTTTTCTTTTTCAACATATGAATTTTGCGGGGAAACAATATGCAGCCCATAACACTACTTTAAGGGGATTGAAATCCTCACTTTTTTTGTTTGTTTTAATTTCAGGTGTACAAAACAATGTAATAGACATTTACGCCCCTCACAAAGTGATAACCCCTCCTCCCCCAATCTACTATCCCTCTGATATATATAGCTGTTGCAATACCATTGACTATCTTCCCTATGCTGTACTCCACACCCTATGACTATGTATATAATAAATTATAGTTGACAGTATTATTTATTCATTCTGATCAGCACTTAATTTCTATTCCCCAGCATGTAGCAGGAACTCTATAAATATTTTAAATTAATTAATTATAAAAAGTTTAAATTAATTAATGAGTGCATTTTTTTGTACTATGTAATCTGCTTCATTAACATGAGGTATGTGTTTTAATGGTTTCCACTGCAGAATGAACATGGAGAAACAGAAATCATCTTTGGTGGTAGAATCATCTTACGCAGACTTGGTCATCAATGTAGGAGAAATAACTCTTGGTGAAGGAAACAGGAAAAAGCTGCAGAAAACTCAAAGAGAGCAAGAGAGGGAGAAAGTTACACAGGCTGCTTGTGCTTTA